CCTTGGTGATTGACAGTTGGTGACTGGCGAATTTAGCGTGGAGTCTTTACAAAGCTAGTGCTTTTATGTAACAACTGTTTCACTACTCCGGGGAGGAATACTATTTATAACAAAGTGGCCTATCTATGAATGGAGCGCAACGCACCAAAAAAGTCAAAAAATAGCTTCACTTCCTGAACGACGCTGCCCTCCTCTTCTGTCATACACTATCAAAAGGCACGGACAGACAGAGAGAAGTAGGGCGAGGAGAGGAACTGGCAGAGAGGAACGGGTTAGCGAAAAGAAGGAAAAGGAAGATAGGGACAATGCGGAATAAGGGGAATGAGGCAGAAGCCGGCACCGGCACGACAGTGCCGTTATAGCTCAACGCATATAGCGATGTGATGATAAATTGTAAGAACCGCGCAGAACGGAGATGGATGAAAGAGCTACTACGACTGCGGGTAAGCGGCAACAACGGCGATGCTTCCTCAATTTTGCGTTGTGATTATATTAGTTAATGTCTTTACTGTTGTCGTTGTCGTCGTTAGCGTTGTTGTTATTGTTGTTGTTTTCGTTGTCGTTGTAGTTGCTGGCGCTGCTGCTAGTAGTGATTATGGCTGTGTTACGTTAGGAAGTAAAGGGGAAAAAAGAAAGAAAAATGAATAAGAGGAAGGAAGAGATTGAAAGAAAGAAGGGGTTGGAGGTTTTGAGGGGTAGAGAGGGAAGAGGAAAGTGCTGAAAGAGCACAGCAGTGACGAGGGAGTTCGTTTAAGTGGTCGGCGTTGTTCGTTGTTTTTATATAGTAGTGGTTGATTTTTTAGGGTGCTTCAGTTGCAGTTTGGATTTGTTTCCTGGTCTTATGCAGTTTTTTTTTCTTGATGCTTTTTAATTCTTTCTTTTTTTTGCCTGTTGGTTTGGTGTTGAATCTTTTTGGTCAGCATTCAGCAAGCCAGCTAATTCGGGTTGCTTATTTTGATGTTTGTGTACTTTTTTTAATGCGTATCGGTGTCGATGTGTGTTAGTCATGTATCTGTGTGCGTGTGAGTTTGTCTCTGTCATTTTGTGTCCGTCCATGTCGTTGTCTGTGTCCGTCCATGTCGTTGTCTGTGTCCGCCTGTGCGTATGTGTTTGTGTGTGCGTGTATCAGTCGAAGCTCATTCGCAAAATTTTTCTTCGGATTTGTGGTTTGGAGAGCATTTTTTTGTCTTTTAACACTCGGGTAGTCTTCAATTCCCTTATTTGGTTTTTTTTTGCCAAAAAGATGCTGAGAGACGGCAAAAAGCAAAGCACGACCACGATCAGAAAGGATGGATGTTAGTTTTTTTTCGTTATGCTTTGTTTATTTGTTTGTTTGTTTGTTTGTTTGTTTGTTTG